TTCTGATGGTAACTTACCGGTATGATAAGAGTAGAGCACTACAATTACCGATATGAGGCTAAAAAATGTTACTAGATTTCAATATATTTTAAACTTTCTTATTTCCTAGTAACTTTTAATAGGAAGTACTGTACACATTGTGAATGTGTAATTTAATTCTATATACATTTAAAAACAAACAACAATTAGAAATCAAATATAGATCATTTATTTTAATTATTTATTAAAGGTGGAATCTTTACGTATGGCATACGAACTTTCTTTATATACAACAGATAATTTTAAGATATCTAGATAGTAAAAAGTACTGCCTTTGAGAGTGAATTTCACTCGTGTCTCTCCCTGTTCATTTGTTTGGATATTTTGTTTAAAAATTGTTTTTACATGATAAGAATAAATGTAATTAATTATATTTGATTTAATGTTAGTATATTTTATTAGTTTTTATCTCGTACAAAAAGTTTTCTTTACATTTCTTTAATGAGAATCTGTGATGTTAAAAATATATAAGATTTAATTTATAAAAAATAAACTAAAAAAAAAACGTAGTACTTTCTTCTTAAGCAATTGCTGTGTATTCATAATCCATTAGATGTTTTATGATTATCCTTCGAGTATCAGGATATGACTCTACTAATTTCAGCTGAATGGAGCCCTAATTTGACGCTGAAAATCAGCGTAAAGCGTCACCATAGGGTTCCACCCTTAGACTCTATTATTTTTTATTGCTATAGCGGAGATTATAAATATATCTATTTATCTTTACATTTTGTTAATACCACTAAACGAGATTGTAAAAAAGGCTAACGAATCTGAGATCTTAAATATTCCTACGTATCCGATGATTGTCTTCCGACATTATGACACGAGAAATGTTCAACCCTGAATAGAAAAAGAGATATATATATATATATGTCTTAATAAAAAATAAATGTGTATAGTTAATATCACTGCTTTACAATTTACAATTATCGGACAATCGCTGCACCACATTTTAATACCATAGAAAATATTTCTATTTTCAAGCTTGCCGATACTAAACAATATATTGGTATTGTAACGATAATAATTATACTAACAATAAAAGTACCTATAGTTATATCATTAACAATAATAATAATAAGGATGACGATGATGATAATGATTATAATGATTATAAAGATGATAATGATAATATTAATAATAATTATAATTATAGCATATAGTAGTAATCTCCATACTAATAATGTATAATATTAATGATCGATAATTACGGTCATTAATTAATTAACAAGAATAATGTACACATAACAATAACTTGATTAATGAACGTCCAATTTAATCGACGTATTATGCTACTACGCTATTTGTATAATTTATCTGTATATTATATACTAATGAAATGTATTAAGAGAGAGAGACAAAAAGAAAGAAAGAAAAAAGAAAATATAAAGCAAGAAATATTTCTTCTTTCACGATGTTAAACAACGTATTATAGAGATTTAATTAGAATAGTTAGGACTATTTCTATTATCCATATATTTGTTGATAGGAGATAAGATAAAGAAAATTCAACGAAAGTTAAGTATCATTCGATGAACTTAAGTATTTGAAAAATAGTATGTACGTATTTTTTCTTCGCTTATCTAACAACACAAAAGTAATACATATCAATAATGAAAATGATGAAACGTATAACATTTATAAGACACAATAATTAATAAAACGATGTTAATAATGATTATATGATAGAAAATAAATAATAACTATAATTAACGTAACAGCCTGTAAAAATGGATAGCATGATTCGCTATCACGGCGTATTAACGATGGCAGTGACATCCGTCGTTCTTATTTCTAAAAAGAACAAGAAATATGGGAAAAGAACAAATGGCGAAACGAAGAAGAAGAAACCGAAATAAACAAACAAAATAATTAGAGTGACTAGGATTATTAACAATAAGAATCTTTAGATTCTTTTGGCACTAGATGCGCCGTCGATTCTAAAGCAGGATTTTCGAATACCGACGATTAATTATATTATAACAAGCCGATTCTTGTATCAATAATATATAAAGACAATTTAACAATATTTATTTATAATTTCGATGTAAGGATCTAATCGTTAATAATTCATATTTTCAAAATAAACACGTTAAATATATAAATATATATATATATATATATATATGAATACGTATACAATTAATTTTGGCGACAAATTTCTAATCCTCCAGGAACAAATTAGAGAGATCTATGATCATTTATTAGATACGTGGGCATCATCATTGGAACATATCTCGAAGTATTATTGTTCGATTAAATAATGGAAAGACGTTATTTCACATTCCTAACATTACAATTATCTTAAATCTAAGTTAACTATAACGATCAATGTTTTTATCGAATGTACAAATTATCGATGAAAGAAATGATTAAGGCTCTTCTCATCGATTTTCCATTTTTTGTTTTAAATCGATGTACACAGGTGTCTACGATGTATGGAAAATATCAGGATTTTTGTCAGTGAGTTCGCGTAATTTTGGAAACTCTGATCCAACAACATTTAGAGAACGATGATTTAAATAATATATTGTTTCGATATTTTTTTCAAGTCAACCGACCTAACTTCGTTTTTTTACCGAACTTGAATTTAACGTTTTGAAAGGAACGTCGTCGAAGAACAACATTTTTTGGTCAAGCAATCGTGTTATTGTCTAACTCTGCAAATTCTCTAGTAACCTTGCAGACGTAATAAAGTCGTTCATAAAGATCAGCAGTACAACCGAAATCGCGAAGATCATTTAGCCAATAAGAAGATACATGTCTACCGGTGTCGATGTAGGTAATCAAATACCCTTTGCCAGTTTCCTGAGATACTATTATCTTTGTATGATCCACGAAGAAGTTTACTTGGAGTAATGGAACTGTTAATTCCATAACAATTGCTTTATCTGTCCTAAGCCACCGTCTCATGCGTGGAACATAAGCGTTCTTTGATTGTTTCACCGTTGTACGATATTTCTTTAATTCACCACCTAAATTTTTGACAACGTGTTAAAATAATTCTAAATTTGAACATCTTATTAACACTTTTAGTAAGTGTAAGTAAGTAAAAGAAAAAGAAAAGTGAGATGACAATTTACCTTCCGTTAAAAATTCGTCCATGTATTGAGTAAAGTGATGAAGTAGCTCAAGTTTTTTCTGCAAAGGTACAGGTATATCCCTTTCACGGTGATATCTCGTAACTTCGTCGTCGATTGTCATGTATTCGATTCTTCTGTAAATTAAAATTTATTCATATATATGTATATTATTTTTTCTATATATAATAGATTGATTCTTTATTTTGAATATTTTTGAATGTTTATACTTATGAAATATCTCCTAAAAGAGTTTCAAGTTTCTATCTCAATTTTAACTTTTATCATAGAACGATGTAAGTTTCCCATTTAAATACCATACGCTTTTTGGAATTGAATGATCAATATTTTATTCCGGTCAAAGTAATTATTCAAACAATTTGAAACATTGTAAACTTTATTCTTATAATATTAATTGTTCACTTTAGAATTTGTACAGATTTTTAATTATTATAATTTTGGAGTTGTAGATAGATGAAAAAGAAAATAATTTGGTTTGAAATCATACGAGCCTTTTGGAAGAATAAAAATTCAACAATACCGAAAGTAAAAGACTATCCTGATATATAAATTATTTAAAATATGTTATGCGGTATACGAGAATTATGTAATACAATTTTTTGGTTTTATTTTCCTCAAAAGAAAAAAACAAACAACTTAAAATTAATTCATAATAGAACGTACGTATTAGAAAATCATCTAGTTGTCATCAATCCTTACCTCCTGTCATGAGTATAACTGATCTTGGTATTGTCGTTGAATAAAACACCAACTGATTTATCTGACAATTGAAAACCTAATCCATATTTGTTGGAATAATCTATCCACTTTGTGACAAAAAGGGGCACGATATCTTCGACACCAGGCGGATTCTGTTGCAAATTGTTACGTTTCATTTCGGAAACAAAACTGTCCAATGCACGATGCATCTGAGCACTTTGAGCAAGTAGACTAGTCTTTTTATTGTCGGGACAAAGTACGCTACTTAATCGTTGTTTGAACCTGGGTAATTTAGGTAATTTTCGTACCAGCCAATTGGACACCTTCGAATCTTTTTGTATATTTTTTTGAGACCGTTCGAGCAAATGTTGATTTTGCGTTGGTTGTTGGTTTGCGTTAGGCATCGTTGCTCGTTGCTGAGAACGTGGATAAATATCTGGATGATCTAAACTTTGCCAAACCTACAAAAATGAAAATCAAATTCTATAGTCAGTGATGTTACATAATCCATTATTCGTATCTCTATGTTTTATTTGATGTTCATTATAAACGATAATACAATTCCCCTATTTCTAAATTGTTTTCCATATACCTGAGCTTTCCCAAGTTCCTGATTTCTGGAAGCAGTCGAGACCGAAGATGGCGAAGAAGAAGAAGCTGGCTCGAGTATCGTAGCGTGCGGCATTTGGTAGCAACAAGTGTGCGGTAAAGAGGGTGGTATGTATTCCTTTGTAAGATACGGATGTTCCTTCACCCATTCCGAGGACGGTCGGAGTTCTGGATTCGGTTGTAGCAACCAGTTTATAAGATTCTGACCGTTCCTGCTTGCTATCGAGTCATCGACCTCGCGATAATCATTTTTACATATTCTCGCGTAGGTTTTCTCTAATGTCGCTGTCTCGAAGGGTGGCTGTCCGACCAGTAATGCATAAAGGATGCAACCTAACGCCCAAACATCCGCCTCATAGCTGTACGCTTGTTTGTACAACACTTCCGGTGCAATATAATTCGGTGTACCACATATGGTCCTAAAAAAGGGTTTCAATATTTGTCAACTAATCAAACAAACATTTGTTTTTTAAACAACGATACGAAACGAATTTTCTTTTATTGATGTCAAACTAATGTTTGAATTAAAAAAAAAAAGAATATATTAAAAGTTGTCTTACACTCGTCTACGTTGACCATCAGGCCTCGTAGCCAAACCAAAGTCTCCAATTTTGACGATCATACGATCTGACAGGAACATGTTGCCTGGCTTCAAATCCCGATGGACGACCTTCTGCGAGTGAATATACGCTACACCGGTTACCATTTGTTTCATGTAATATCGTGCTTCCGGTTCTGTGACTTTACCACGGTACTTCAATACGTGCATTAAACTCTGTCAAAATAAAAATAAGAAACGTTTATGTCTTCTTTCTTTTTTTTTTTAAATTATGCATTAAATTATGCAAAAATACGATTAGAATGCATTACAAATATTTCATCTCGTGAGCTATTACGTTATTTTGTAATTATTAAACTGAATTATATCTCTGTTTGGTTTTTCTTTTACCACGAACAACATTATAATTAATAAAGGGAATAATATTCCTAGTAGATAATTAAATTCATATGACTTAACTATTACGGAATATTATATTTGTATAATCATATTAAGGTAACACATTTGAAGAAAGTTTTAATAATACTTTATGATTATTGTTATTATTATTTATAATGACTATTTTCTATGAAATAGATTAACAGACAATTTTGTGAAAGTTTCGTGATGAAGATTTGATGAAATAATTGTGTGTGTCTCTGTGTGTGTCTGTGTATATATGTATAGATCGTTTCGTCGCATCCTAACGGTACAAACAAGTCGACAGATCGGCCACGGAGAGTGTAAGTGCCGCTCTCTTTGCCAATCGAACGGAAAAGATGAACCTCAAGGTGGATAGTGTGCACCTCAAGTAAGCATAATTCCGAAGAATGAACGAACACGTGCATCATCGCGTGCAGACTACCTCGGTTGCATATTTTTGTCCATACCTGGATCGGAAGTCGGCCTGAATTCCACGAATATTTACTCAATTACATTTACAATCTTACTCAAACAGATTATTTTGTTCATTTAAAAGATAAATATATATTTGAAAATCTTTATCAATTATTTAACGTATATTTTGTCTTACATTAGACACCCTAATTCGCGATTGTTTTCTATTTATTGTATATCTTATATATTATTTTTGTATAATATATTTGTTTTAAATAAAATAGTTTGTTCTAACTGTTACAAAAATTTTGTTGTTTTATTTTTCATGTGTAAAAGTATTAGTGTTCCTTTCTCAGTTGGAGGTGACGTTAGAAATTGTCAGAATATAAGCTTGGGAAATCTCACATGAATCCTATAGAATGCTATGTCGTAGAAAAGCAACAGATAGGTGTAAAGATATAAGGAGTCATACCTTTCGCGGACAGGGTTCCAACAACATATATACGTTTAAGTTGTCCTCGAAGTAATGATGCATTTGTACAACGTTCACATGATTCAATTCTTTATGGATTATGATTTCGCGTGCGGTCTGTAAAACATAAAGTTTCTTTTTTTAATGGATACTTTTTTTAAACAAAGATTTTCATTTAAAAATCATTACGGTTATTGTCCCATCAAAATTAATCAAACTTTTTATATTGATCGTATATATATATATTATACTATACTATATAAAAGATTATTTATAATAAGAAAAATTTGGAACGACTCATTTAATAATTCATTCTAACAACGAGATAAAGTATTAGATCACATTAACAAAGAAATAAAATATAAGCAACGGTAAACGTCGAAGCCAGTCGAAAAATATTTGATGTATATTTCAAAAAATAAAACGATCATTATGTTACCATTACTATTAACAATAAAATTATACGTGTTACACATTGTTCGAATAAAATAAAACAGAAATGACTTGTCATTTTCGCAATTTGTTTTACTACTTTTTCGGCTTCTCCCATACCGTGCAAATAAAATTTAGACGAAAGACACATTCTGTTGAATCCTATCGGTGAAACTTTGCCATTTTTCGATTCTCCGATCGAAATCAAATCGAAAATAGTATTAGAGTCGCGTTTGATTTCAGGAATCCATTTTTGGAATGAACCCAAGTGGACCAGGATAAATCTTGGAGGGCGTATAACGATGAAAGAAAGTTGAGTCGACGTTTGCGAACCTTTTGCATGTGGATTTTCTGCATCCGATTTTTCGGGATTATCTTGCAAGCGTATTGATTTCCATCACTGACGTCGGTCATTAGGTAGACCCTTGCAAAGCCCCCCTGGAAATAAAAATAATTATTGAATTATTATTTAATTCACAATCCCATAACACTCATGATATTTGTTATTTTTTATTTAATCTTTTAACTGCTATAACAAATATTATACTTGTTAAACACGGGATACGTAAAACTATACTGTAACATTTTATTAAATTTTAATAACGAAATATAATGCATTTGATTTTGTTAAATTATTATGAAATAATATATTATTTATCGAGTACCATATAGATTTATTTAATCTTTTAACTGCTATAACGAATATTATACTCGTTGAACACAGAATACATAAAACTATACTGTAACATTTTATTAAATTATAATAACGAAATATAATGCATTTGATTTTGTTAAATTATTATGAAATAATATTTCTTGTATCGAGTATTATTTTTCTTATATTTATTAGTAATTTATTTTCATATTATATATGAGTATTATTTTCATTAGGTATATTCTTTATCAAGTACCATATAGATTCATATTACTAATACCTATTTAAAGCACACATGCATTTTAATTTTTTTATTTACCTAAAAGAAGTTTCCTTTAAATTAAGTAATTAATATCTTTTGACATAATAAATATAACAAGAAATAGAGATAATATAATTATAATAAAAATGAGTTTAAGAGAAAAATGATGAATTTGTATTTTCTTATTAAAATAAAACGTTAATATAAACGTAAAACGAATTCGTTCTTTCTGGCACGGAATAAGAGAAGAAAAAAATAAGAATGAAAAGTAGAGTAAGTAGAAATAGTTGTGGCTATTTCGAGATGATCTTACATACGTAAACGCACGTAAAAAGAGAGGAAGAAAACGCATGGTTCATATATATATTAAAAGAAAAAAAAAAAAAAAGAAAAAGGGTAGTAAGAAGAAATGGAAAATACGATAATTTCTCTTTCATTCTCATCGTTGCACCAAAGTGAAAGGTTTTCTCTTTCAAGATCTCTATTTAAAAAAAATATATAAATCCTCTCGAAGATAGGATAACTAATTCTCGATGACTCTTCAAAAGATTTTCTTCTCCTCTCAACATTTTTCGTTCTGGATTCGTGACTTCTCTTATTCTATTTAGTTTTCAAGTTGTGTGCTGAATAAAACTAGTACAACTGGTCATACATTTAGATATATATATATGTATATGTTATATTGGTAATATACAAAGTAAAAGAATTATTATATATTTTTTCTTCTAGACATTTTATAGAATGACAAATGCTATTATTAAACAAAGTATGAAAAAAGGTTTTGATATGGGTATTATATAAATGACATGTGCATTACTCAAAAATACAAATGTTATTCTGAAAAAATATATATA